TACTAAAAGTATTGGCCTTGAAACCAAAGGTAACTTTTGCTTTAAATAAGATACTGAAGAGAATGAAAAGACAACCCACAAACTATGAGGAAAATGCACAAGCACACATCTGAAAAGAACTGATATCTACCATATGTAAAGAGCTGTCAGAAGTGAACAGAGAGAATACTTGACCTAATAAAAACACAGGCAGAGATGCAACATTAGTCACCAGACAAATAGGAATCAAAGCCATGGTGAGGTTCTAGTATATACTAGCTAGAATGGCAAAGACTGAACAAAAAGCTGACACCACCTCATGGGATATGAAGTCCACAGTTGTGGACATAACTGTGACTCTTCCATGCTGCTGTGTCTGATGATTGACACCACCCTGGAGTGGCAGGGCGCAAGTACATGGACAAGCATGCTGTGTGCAGGACAGACACTGTACTACAGGGGTCAAAGTGTGTCATGGGCAGCCACACTGGGGGCTCTGCACCTTCAAGTCCTCATCTCCCTCCAGGATAAGAGCCCAGAACAGAACCAGGGGCAGATTCCAGAATGGTGGCAGCCACTATGCCTTGTGCAGCACTGCTCCTAAAGGCCAGTGTGCCTTTTGAGGAAACTTGAGGTGAGGTCAGAGACACCCACAGTGTCTCCAAGGACCTCTGACCCATCCTTGCTGAGATGCCCCAGCCCTGCCACAGTGGTTACTTTGTCATGGTTTCCATCAAGAATCTCTGCTCAGGAACGCCCTTTGTACCTCCTTTTAATGGGAGGGGGAGGGATTAAATTCTACTTCCACCTTTTTTTTTTTTTTGGTACTGGGGATCAAACTCAGGTCCTTGTGCTTTTGAGGTGGGTGGTGGCACCACTGAGCTAAATCCCCAGCCCTCACCATTTTTTCATGCATTCTTTGTAATCTTCATTTTCAGACTCTAATGTGAGGAATTCTACTTTCCATATTAGTTTTGACCCAACCCTTCATTTTTATATAAGGAAAAAAACTTAACTATAAACCTCTTTCCTTAGTAGACAATATTACTCACTCTGGTTGACATAAAAATGATATATTTATTTAAACTTAGACTAATAGAATGCATAATTTCTATAAGATGTCATCGGGCCAGAGGTCCAAGGCTATAGATGAAAGCTCAAAATTCCTCTCACATAGGTGTCCAGGGCATGGGACAGCTGGCAGCCCAGCACACAAGGCCTGGGGGTGTGGGAAATTACCCTTAATCTCTTCTGGTTACCCTTGAGTTGGCCATCCAAAGAACTATTATGTCTGTCCCTACTGTATTCACTGTACTATGAGTACAGCAAGGGGTCTGTGTAATGAAAAATCACTAACCTCTTATTCTGGTCTTTAGGCTTCTTTCTTTTCTTTTGGGGGGGAGGTGGGTACCAGGGATTGAACTTTGGACCTATGCCTATCTCCAGACCTACATTCCCTTTTTTGGTACCGGGGATCGAACTTGGGCCCTTGCGCCTGCAAGGCAGTCCTAGGTTCCTTTTTCAGTGACTGCTAGTTTTACACACATTTCTTATCTACTTGGAAATCTCTTGGAGAAAGGTGGGAGAGCTCCAGGGAAGTGGGGCTGCACTGTCATGGTGCATGGCCAAGGTTTGACGTGGTTTCCAACACCATCGTTGGACCTCTCTACTTTTGCCATCTTCACACCCAGAACTGGACCGGGAAGGGCAGAGGGATGTGGTCCCCGGCTCCAGTGGCCGAGCATGTGTTCCTGACTGGGAATCATAGTTGTCTCTTGCCCTGAGGCCAGAGAGGACTCTTTGCAAATTCAGATCACTAAGTGACAGCAGTGTGCTGGGAATTTGCCTACCCTGCCGCCAGTGTTTCACAGCAGTGCTGCTTCTCTTTTCTCCTCAGAGGCCACAAGAGGAAGCTGAACGACGAGGATGCTGCCAGTGAGTCCAGCAAGGAGTCCAGCAATGAAGACGAGGAGGGCAGCAGCTCTGAGGCAGATGAGATGGCAGCAGCACTGGAGGCCGAGCTGAATGACCTTATGTGACTTCGGTTCCACTTCACGTGCCCTGTGCCAGCCCTTGGTCCCCTTTCTCCACAAAGACTTGTATTTTCTAGAGCTCCGCACACAAAAGCACATTATTTTGCAGAAACAGGTGTTTTTAAGAGGTTTTACTATAGGAAAGTCTACTTTTTTAAGTGACAGAGCATTATGGGAATCGGTGTGCTATGCCAAAGAGCTCAGCAGAGCCTCGCATGTAGTTGAGACTGGATTTTTGTGGTTTCTTGTCACATAGTAAGGGTTATTTTCCTTTGGGGGATCCCTTTAAATACCACAGTATATTCTTTCGGGTGAAGACTCTGGGAGCGCCAGTAAGACTCAGAATGATGTAGCGAGAACCTGGCATCTTGTCTTGCTGCTTCACAGCTGAAGCTGAAGTTCTGAAGGATGTTTAAATGACACAGCCATGTACATGTGTACAGAACAGCAAGAGCTACAGACAACCTGTGAGCCTCCAGCTGACTCCATGTCCCTCAGAGGACACACAGGTGACCAAGGGCCCCAGCACAGGTGCTGCCAGTGGCCATATCCTCCCATCATGCGTGTTTTGATGAAGGGGGGCTTCCCTCTTCTTGGGTGGCCTTACACTTCTTGGAGAGATCTGCTGTAAAGTTTTTGTATATCTATTTCATATTTGACCCATAAAACAGATTTTTCTTTCATTTAATAAAAGTCCCTTTGCATGTTCTCTTGGGGTGCAGTGGGGTAGTTAGAAGGACCCTTTCTCCAGTTTTCTCCTCCGCTTGTCTGATGGATGCCTTGTTGGGAATGAGGGTGACCATCTCTCAGCCAGTTTCTTGTCAAAATTTAAAAAACAGGAAACATAGCACACTAAGAAGCTATGAAGAGTTAGCAGTGCCTTAGAAGTCTAAACAAAACAACTAGTTGAACTTACTCTCTTAAGCCGCTCCATGACTGTTACTCTGTTACGTGGGAAAAATTTTTTAAAGCTGGCAACAAAACATGAAGAATACCAAGAGTCATTGTTACTTTTGATTATTAGAGTAACAAAAAGTTAACTCAGGAAACAGCTCTGACCAGAACCTCCTGCCTGTAGTTGGAGTGAGTTAATCCAGCTACACATCCACCAGACCTTTGACATGGCTGCCACTAAAATCATTCAAGGTCTGGCTCACGGGCCACCCATGGTGGGTTCTGTCTTCACATCATACTCTGAGATCTTGGGCCTTAGTGGCACCTACCACCTCTTCAGAGCCTGGTCCCTGCTAAGCTTTGGAGTGTAAAGGGAGAAATCCAGAGCCCACATGGGTCCATGCAGCCATGGCCAATGACCAGGGCCTGTCCTGTGTGGAAGACAATCACAGGTCTGGTACTGAAGCCAGGGTGAGCTTTTGGGGTTTTTTGTTTGTTTGTTTTTTGTTTTTGTACCTGGGATCGAACTGGGGGACCTTGCTCTGTCAAAGCAGACAGCGGCACCACTGAACTAAATCCCTAGCCCTGTGTGAGTATTTCTTAAAGACATCACTGCAGGACTGCAGCCAGGGGACCATACCCAAGACAGATTGGCCACCACTGCCAATTGCCAGCAGGGTCCTGGGCACAGCCCCACAGTGGTCCGCCTCACCTGGTCATCTGCTCAGTGGTGTCTTCGCTGATGTTAGTGATACATCTCTACCATTTCTGTGTGACCCCACTGAAAAGTATTTTAACATAGCGAACCCAGACCCCTGTCTTTCGAGATGAGTGAAGAGAGGCTGGGCCTTCCCTCCTGCACATAGGAGCAGTGGGATTATCACACACGCTGGGCACCGGGAGGGGCCAACTGGGCCCCCTGATGTACATCTGTTCTCCACCCTCTGCCCTTGTGTTTGAGGTAGGACCTAGCATGGGGCACATCTACACCAGTCACTTAAAGGGGACTTGCCCTGCCTGCCTGTTCGGCCCGCTTTACCCAGCATCTAGGGGAGTGGCTGGGCAGGCGGGAAGCTAGGTGTTAGAAGACCCCAGGCCATCTGCAGCTTCTGCCTCTGACAGGATCAGCCATGTGTTCTCATGACCCTGTGGGGTAGCTCCCATGCTCAGCTGCCCAGTAGTTCCCTGACCTTGGGGACACTGAGCCTCCCCTTCCTACTGTTCCTGCACAATTGTGATGGTCCGAGGAGCTACAGACATCCTACACGAGGGCCTGGAATGGCTCTGTGGCCCAAGTTCAGAACATACTCTCTGCGTCATGCAAAGAGCTACTGGATTTTTGAGGGAAATGTTAAATATTGAATCTGTGCAACTATTCCAAATAAAGTCTCTTCTAGGAAAAAATAACAGGAAACCTGAACTTGCTTCCTGAGCATAACTTCTCTGTCAAGTCTTAGGCCTAAAATGGCTAGAAGGAAATTTGTAATAAAAAATCTGACAAGAGAACACTACATAAATAGGTAATAAACTTTATAGATTATTTCCAGAACTTGAAAGTCTGTAACTAAAGTTTAATGAAGAATTCTTTTTTTCTCTCTTGTTTAGGAAATGGAATATTGACGTTTCATATAACAACAGGAATAGATTTCATACCCAGAGCTTTTCATGCTAAGTTTTCAGAACACCGGGAGTGCTGATCTTCGCATGCACTGCTGCGGTCGGTGCAGATAGGAGGCAGGGCCATGGGGCTCCACAGACTCCCATCCAGGGACTGGGAGTTGTACAGTTGTGGGCTTCGATACGTGTGTAAAGTACCCACCATGACAGTGTCATGCCAAATCATTTCACTACCTTAACATTCTGTGTCCCACCCATGTGTCCCTGACCTCTAGCCCCTGAAAGCACTTGTCCTTTTACTGTCCTCCTAGTTTTGTCTTTACCAGAAAGGCATGCAATTGGTATCATAAATGTGTAGTATTTCAAGACTGACTTTTTTCACTTACTAAAATGCACGTACGTTCTTCATGGCATGATAGCTCATTCTTCTTAGCACTGGTATTTTATCATCTGGATGGTCCTCAGCTGATTTATCCATTCACCTCCTAAAGAACATCTAGGTTGTCCAGGTTTCGGCAATTATAAAAAACAAACAAAAACTGCTCTTAACATCCATGTGTAGGTTTTGTGATAAATGCCAGGGTGCACAATTGCAGAACAAATTGTAGAGAATTGGTGCAATTTCTTTAAATATTTGTCCACCAGTGAGAAACCATCTGGGCCAGGTACTCTTGATTGTTTCTTATTCTGCATCCTGGCAATTGTGTGAGCGTCCATTTCATGTAAGTTTTCAAGCCTGGGCATAGAGTTGCTCACCATATTCCTTTGTTCTTTTAATGACCATGGGATTGGAGTGATGTCCCCACCTTCTTTTCATAATTTGCATGGATGGAGGCTTATCAATTTTTTCTCTTCAGAGAATCAGCTTTTTGTTTCATTTGTTTTTCTTTATTCATTTCCTGTTTTTAATTTCATTGATTTCTGCTCTAATTTTTATTATTCCATCTAGTTACTTTGAACTGATTCGTTCTAGTTTCCTAAGGTGTGACCTTAAATTTAAGCTTTAAAACACAGTGTATAGAGCCCAAGCCCTGAGATATCTGGAGGGCCATGCTGACATGGGCTGCTGGCCAAGCCAGGGCACCGAGCCCACAGAGGGAGTGCATGGCCTCGCCAACCCCACACCTGGGACTTTGGTGACTGAGCCCTGTGATCTCCCTGGTGTGACCTTCACCCACTGGACTTGGACTTCAAATATGACCCCAGACCTGCCCGCCACCTTGGAGGGTCTACTCCCCTCCCAGCCAGCAAGATACCAATTCTCAAGCAGCTGGCGTCCAGCTCGTGCACTCCAAGTGCCGTTCCCATGTGAACCTCACAGAGACAATCAGTGCTCCTCTGGGTGACTTCCACCACACCATGCATGTGGGCCGGGCTGGGGTACCTTTGGGGACACCTCTTTCCTCAACAGCAAGGCAGGTGACCCTGACTGTAAGTCCCTGGATGAACAGACTTTCTCTTCTTCGTCTTCTAAACACAGCCTCCTGCCCCAGAAGTTCCAGGGTCACAAGCAGTCACAGTCCTGACCTGGGGGACTGGGGGCAGAGAGATATGCTGGGCTCCCTTCAGGACTTAACACTCTTTGTCAAGAATGCCATGTCCCTGCTGCAGCTCAACGATAAAGAGACCTCAGAGAAGGGCTCCAGCAAGCTTCCCAAGAGCCTGTCATCCAGTGCTGTGAAGAAGTTGGGCGCTGGGAATGGCATCAGGAGGAGGCCGGTGCCGGGGAGCTGGGGCCCTGCCAAATGGGGCCATGGGTCCCCACTCCCTGGACCCCCTCCTTGACAAGCAGGCCTTTGGGGACCTGACAGATCTGCCCATTGTGCCCAAGGCCAGCTATGGGCTGAAGCATGAGGCGTCCATCATGTTCTTTCACAATGACCTTGGGCCCTCCATGCTGGGCGATTTCCTCATATCATGGACAAGAAGGAGTGGGACCCTGAGGCGGATGGTGGCACTTACCACGTGGATGAGGACCTCTGGCAGGGTCACCCAGGCTCCCCCTTTGGCGAGGACCTCCCACGCTCTGGAGGAGAAGGGGTGGGCAGCAGCAGCTGCCAGCCCCGTCTCAGCCTGCCATGTAGGCAGCCCCACCACGAGAGAAAGCAGCTCCCTCTCCTGCTCCACACTGGGTGTCCTGGAGGAGCACAGCCTGGCCTTCTGGAGGCCGGACAGAGCCCAGGCCACTGTCCTGAGGCAGCCTGACAAGGAGTTCATGGACAAGGAGGAGGAAGATGAGATCCGAAATGAGGTGGTCAGAAAGCAGCTGGAGCTCTGAGCTGTATCTTATCCCTGCTCCCACCCCTGTGACCTTTGACCTTACTGTGCAAGAGGCAGCCTAGGACCTAGTGGGTGAGGGGCTCAGGATTTGGGGAGCTGGCCTAGGTGCACACACCTGCTCTGCGCAACGGCGTGGATCCAGACTGTGTTCTCCGAGCAGGAATTTCTTTTCTTCTTGGCCTCCTCTTTCTCCGCTCTGGCCCAAAATGGACACCACATATTACCCTGAGTGCCTGCCTTGGGCACCCTTTGCAGGTAGCCAGAGGTAGCTTACTCCATGGCCAGAACTGTTGGCTCTCCCCTTTCTCTCCTGGTGTTCCTGCTGTGACCCCAAGCAGGTGTGCACAGCAGGAGGAAGGGGGTGATCTCTCACCCGATCCCCTCCAGCTCCTTTCTTGGCTCCTGCTCCAGCAGCCTGAGCCCCTGGGAGATAGACTGGAGCAGGGGACCAGCTGTGAACCAGACACTAAACACAGGCCCTTGCAGAGGAGAGGACAGGATGGTGACGGATGAGTTTCCAAGGAGGGGCCCTTCCCACATAACACGAGGAACAGGGCTGGGGCCGCGCCCTGTGGGTGTGTTTGTTCTTTGTTATTATTATGTTTAAATCCTTATAGAGCAATATTTGGGACAGTGTTAAATAGAATGGAATCCTT